AAAAAAAAACTTCCAAGGCATTCAAAAATAAAAAGAAACTTATTTTAAAGGGAAAAAATTACTCATTTTGAATTAGTGGCATTGTCATCACTGTCCGGCTTTCTTATGTAGGCCTCAGCCAGTACGTTGTGAGGCTGTGCCATGGCTTACGACGATATGAGCCAATTTGTGCCAAGACTACTGACTGCCTCCATCCAAACTCTTGTTTAGCCTCCCTACATCGAGGAGGAGGATTTGATGGTCGAATAAATTGTATACAAAAAATTGGAGGCCGACTTGCGGCGTGGCATCGAGGCCAACCCACTGGACTAAGGCAGCAATGACCACCGATGTCACCTTAGGCGAAAGTGGTGACCAAGGCAACAAAGTATCTCATGGCCTAGGGCTACCGTCTGTCAAATTTTAGCAGCCTAGCCACCTTAGCATTGATTTAACAGTGTCAAACAGTGGATTTGGGCACGTTGGTTCGATGTGTGCGTGTGTGTGTGTGTGTGTATGTGGAATTTCTGTGACTCAAACAGCTCTTTTATGACAGGTAGTAGAATGTTTTATACTGTTTTGCGAAATGATTTAAGGTTGGAAGAGTGTTCAAGGTGATGTGTGCCGTGGAAGGTAAATAGTTTACACTTAAACACGGTGCATTATTTACTAAACGGGTGCCAATTTTCGATGTGATCCTTGTGATTCGAGCAATCTTTGAAGATCATCTACTTGTAGCGAACTTTGTACAAGTGATTGTCTGTTGGGAATCACCTCAGAATAGCTACAATGTACGCAATGACTAGCCTCTGGGTCAAATCCAAGCACAATTTCTCCTTTTTCTCATTGACTACATGCAGATGTGTAGTCTAAGAGCGTTACACTCTTGGCAGCGGAAAGCGAACCCGCCTATGTTACGACATCTATCCATACGTCCATCGTGTCTGACATGATTCTGAGGTGTGAAGGAGGCGTATTTACATCGGACATGAGATTGTATAAATTCTCCACAACAGGAGGGGTAACTGTGGCGCCCGCCTCCAGCATCCGCTCCAGGCCTGTACTTCGCTACCTATCTATCCACAACCTAGGCGATACCGAAGAATAAAACATCTAAAGGATTATCGGTTCAGCATTCCTCTTACCAAATTCGAGTAATGGATGTCAATCACACCATTGAACTTAATCCTTTTTTATAAGAGACTTTGCTTGATCCTCATCTTTCCATTAAGCATAAGTTTTAGATTTGTGTTCTGATCGTCAACAGGAGTGTGTAACTTTAGCTCCTGAATTCAGGCCAAACATAAAGCCAAATCCACTCGAAGTTGCTGAGAAGGCCAAGTTCAACCCTAGACGCGGTATATTCGTAAGTGCTTTCTCGTATTGCCAGGTTGGTTACGATGACCAGTGAGGCAGGTTTACCAAGGGGCGATGTAGTACCTCCCACCGCGTGAAAGAAGGCAGTAAGTGAAACAGGATACATGTATTCCAAAGAGGACGAAGCAAATGACCCTGAGCATGACCCAAAGGCTAGCCCACAAGTACAAGGACCAGACAAACCCCAAAGTGACCGCCAAACATCATATGGTCAAATAAAAAAAGCACTACAGTATCTTGTCTTTAACTGCAAGGCACGACCTTTTGACAACACCATTGCTACGAATTTTCATAACAAAAAATTCAATATAGCTATCCGTATGCTTTAAAGGTCTGGACTGTATCCGAAGAGACCAAGAAGTCCATTAGAATGTTATGCAATGGCTGTAAGAGCTACCTGTCCACTCTCTGATCCCTGAACCTCAAACTTCAAGAGACGGTTGCGGATGATTTGTTGGGCATAAGTTAATAGGAAGGATGGGGAATGGGATGCAGATGAGGCGCCTAGCAGACCTCACGCACGTGTTTCGCGTTCCCATTTGGTTCCCGCCGCCCACCTATAAAAGCACACTTAAACAAACTATTAGATATTACAATGGCTACAGCCAAGCAATTGAAAGGGTTGTAGAAGTAATTGTAATGTATACTGTTAGATATACTAGCAGAAAGCACATGATCTCGTACTAATAGAAAGTCACCAGGAGTACATATATACCCTAATGGTAAAATTGATTTGTGCTCCTATAATTTTACAGGCAATTCAGGCACTGAATGTTCCTACAGGCACTGAATGTTTCTACTTTTAACATGTAAAAAGGCCATATTAAAACGACTCTGTCTGTTCCCCAATATAATTGGTCTTGGGTCGGCCTAAAATTCATTCAATGCAATCGCAGTAACTTCGTACCTCCGCCTATCTAGCGGTCGCTCCTCGCTTTCCACGGTGTCTGTCATTGGTTAGGACTTGAGCGTTTTGTACAATTTTTGCATCTAAGCCCTCAAGTATGCCATTATTTACCCTGAGGTGTCTTGTCCGATAAGGCTTTTAGGAGGTTGTTGCTGATGCAGTTGTCTAATTGCTCTGTAAATGTCTTCATTATGTCCTGCCTCATTTTACTGCTGAATTTATTCGCCGTGTTTATTGTTTTTTTACAGATGATCAGCCTGAGCTCAGCCATTGTGCTTCTTGTTGCAAGTTTCGTGCTTTCAGACTCTAATGGTCAAGATTACAAGTCGAAATCCTTTTTCGCCTTTGGTGGAAGCGTTCGGTGGCATAATTCCAATGTATCTGTAAAGGATTTCGTCTCTCAGCTCAAAGTCTTTATCCATAGTCTCCCTGATGAGACTCTTCGCCAGGTTGTTCATGTTCTACCCAATGGGGCCTACTCCGTCATTGTGTCTGACAGCGGTCGGTACAGAATTTGTCTTTCTGCTCCACAGGGGTGGAATTTTCTTCCAGTCAATGGCTATGAGATCGATTTAACCGACGGTACTCAAAACGAGCAACTGAATTACATTTTTGATCTTACTGGCTTCGATATTAGTGGACAAGTTGTTACAACTGGCATGACCACTGGACCTCCGAATCTGGTCGTTTCTGCCATTGCTAACGACACCATTTTTTCTCAGTCCAAAACGACAGCAAATGGCAGCTTCACTCTACTCTCTGTCCCTCCAGGAAAGTATGTTATCACTGTTAGCGATTCCATCCCAGAGATTGGAACGGATTATGCTCGAGCTAGTTCGAGCATTACTGTTTCCACTAGCAGTCTTACGTTAGCGGATCCTCTTGTTCTACAGGTAATTTTATATACGCCATCTATGCATTTTTGCAGGGTCATTCACTTCGTTCGGTAATAACATTTGATGGTAGAGGTATTGCAAATATTCCTGTTCTCCTCTTCATTCCTAAATCAAGTATATTGACAAAAAGTGACCTGGAAAAATTTGGATGTTTTAAACCTTCTAAACCTCCTATCAACTTTATTCCGGAGAAATTGAAAGACTTATTAAATCCCGATCTTTCCTGTCAGGTATTTTGTTTTTGTACAAAAGATATGATCACGTTTAGGTCGTTAGTGATGCCGATGGTGTTTTTATGTTCTCACGTTTAGCTGGTGGTGAGTATATTTTGGTAGCCTACCATGATCCGGATCTCATGAAATCCACTGAAATAGTGTCTAAGCAGCTAAACATCAGTCCATCCTTCTTGTCGGTTACGATGGAACATGTGGACCGGCATCTTGATTCCGGCTTTCAAGTCACTTCTTTTCGAGTCGGTGGGGGGATTGTCAAGCAAGTCTCTGGGATTCCGATTGTAAACTCAGAGGTATTTCATCTTTACAGATGTTTTCGTTTTCGTGTTGCTCTCTGTATTTGCAAGTTGACTTTCTTAGGTTTTCGTCAATGGCGATTTCGTCAATCGAACGAATTCAAATGGAGAATTCGAGCTTGACTTTACCGCTCCTGGTGAATACTTACTTCATGTAGGCTTATTTTCCCTTTAAATTTTGCGCTTTTGCAGGTAAAAGCACCAAGAGTAAAGTTTGACAAGGTCAAATTAAAATTGGCTCCTACTACGTTAACTTTGCCAACTTTTGTTCCTAGTGAAGTTGAATTTTGTGGCATATTCTTGGTGGCCACTAGCTTAAAGCCAGGGGTAAGTTTGAAATTTTTCGTGCCACAAAAATGAGTATTACTCTGTTTCTAACAAAACATTTTTCTCACAGAGTCGCATACCACTTGTGGAAATTGTTTCAGGACCTTCAATTGAAGCGACTATCTCAGAAGATGGCAAATCGGCTAAATTTTGCCTTTATCTTAGTCCAGAGAAGCACATTCTCCGTTTGGTTGAGTCGCATAATTCCATTAGATTTGCTCCGACCTCCATTATTGTATGCAGTCGTCGATTTTCGAATTTGCATCTGCCTCTTCTGCTAGAGGGATATTTTGAGGCTTTTTTTAGATTAATTTGTCATCCGGGCCAGTTGAGGACGCCATATTTACTCAATTTCAAGCAATCTTGATCGGTGAAGTGCTCTGCATTGAGAAGTGTCCAGCTCCTCAACTAGCTGTTCGACTATCCTCAAAAGAGCAGCCTGATACTCCCTCCATAGTGGCCGACGTCGAGGTCAATCAAGTGAGTTGCCAAACCTTGACTTATCACTTGATTTTTATGGCAACCCATTGAACGACGATTTACCTATCATTATTACTTTTCAGAACGATAGAAGGCGTGGTACATTTACGTTCAAATCCGTGTCTCCGGGCTCTTACGATTTGGAGCTGGTCGTAAAGGATGGAAGTGTAGTGCAGCCTGCATGTGGTTGGTGTTGGGCCTCTCCTGGTCCCCTTCGTCATGTGACCATCACTGATCATGATCTTCACAATACTCCAGAGTTATCATTCCGTCAAACCGGTTACAAAGTACACATCGATGCGCCCATTCTAGGGTTCGAATTTAAAGAACCAGTAAATCTGAAAGTCACGCCATCATTTGTGTCAAATGGATCGCTGGTTTATGCTAACGCCTCCTTTTATCAACTCACGAAGCCTCTGAGTACTGTGCGTTGTTAATTCTTCTGATTCGTTTCCTTTATTTCCAATTTCTCACCTTCTGTGCTTCCTTGTAGGTCTGTCTCTCTGGTGGCTCTTCTTTCACCTTTGAAGCATCAGCTCCATGTTTGCACATGGACGCACCCTCCCCTAGCAGGATTCATTCGGCCGCTACGGATATTCCGCTCTCTTCTCCTTTGAAAACTGTTAGTATATTGGTGCGAGAAGTTCCTATCAATGCTGTTGTGACGGCTCTGCCAGGAATTGGGGGTATTGCAGCTGAAAAAGACCTTCCAGAGTTGATTATTCAGGCCAATTTGTCCAATACAGTTAAAAGGATGTCTACCACGTAAGTGATGCCATATCGAATGGCACTATATGCATCCTTTTATTGCTAACGCACTGGAAACGCTTGCCATAACCACCTTCCATGCTCTCTAGGCGTATGCAAATTCCATCTTTTCATCAATCTGAATTTACTACTTTTCAGCGTTTTATAGTTTGGGTTTACTGTTTGTCACTGATACAACCTGAACGCGTAATTCTAATAGCAAAGACTTAGTTTGAATGGAAATCAGAATATCTTAGTCTGTTTGAACGCTGATTTAAAAAGACGTTATAGTTGGCGAGGTTGAAGTTTGTACCACCGTCGTTTTTGTTTACTCTAGCTGGAGAAAGGAAGCTGACCTGTATACGTCCCAGATGAGTCTCTGGGCTGCACCGGAGGAAGAGATAATCTTCTCCGTTTCTCCTTCCAAACCCTCCTCTGATCAGGCTACTGTTCATTCTCTCATTGTTCCCGCCTCTCAAACTCTTCGTGTGCCTCCTATCATCTACCAACCAAGCCAATCGACTTACGATTACCCTGAATTGGAGGCCACTCCTGCACCTCTCACAGAGGTTACTGGAGTGAACTGTGACGCTCTTCTTGCAGCCACTTTCGGTGGCACAAGCGGGCTCACTGCTACCTTTTCCATGAAATTGGGTTTCTTCTTTACCGGTGTAGTTCAACCCCCTGTTGATAGGGTTTTGGTGACAGTTTACGCCGACACTTCTATTGTCTTCTCCCCACCACTCGAGTTAACCGTTGATATGTCCACCTTCCCTGATCATCGGTTAAACGCACCGTCACCCAGTCCAGGTCTCACCTTGGTCATGCGTGCACTCACCAACACCCAGGGCTTTTTCCGCATCGGACCCTTCTATTTCGATAAGGAATCTACCCATGCGACTCAACCCAGTTCCCTTCTCACCCTACGACTACACAAGCCAGGCTTTGAGTTTGCTCAAAAATCTCCGCTTGATTGGTTGACCTTCTCCTCACAAAAGCTGGCTCTTGTTGAGGTGCATGTGACGTCAGAAGGTAGCATGGAACCCCTTCCTAGTAGGTTTATGGATACTTCCCCTTCGTACTCTCTACGTTGATCCTCTGCAAACCACCTTGTGAATCTTGGATTTTGTCTTTAGGCGCTCTTGTTTCAATCATTGGCAATGTTTATCGAGATAGTAAAACCGCGGACTCAAACGGTTTTGTTCGGTACATTGGTCTGCCTCCTGGTAAGTGACATATTGATATCCACCCATCGAAATATAAGTACATATGGCGTGAAAATGATAAAATGGTTTGTACTTTAGGTGAATACTACATTCAGCCAATGTTGAAGGAGTATGAGTTCTTTGTCCGCAAGGGAAGCGACGGCCAATTGGAAGCCCCAATGGAACACGCGTTGCGAGTTGTTGGCGATGAATCTCTGAGCGTGCAGCTTGTTGGCCGCAGGATTGCTTACTCAACTTTTGGCATAGTAAACGAAATTTCTCAATTTTTTTTTGCATGCAGCAAGTCCATATGCTGTCACGCTAGCTCTGATCCTTGTGACGTAATTTTATTTCTTCGCATTTACTGTGGGGTCAAGCACTTGTTAGTCTTGCCTTTCTGTGCGGCAGCGTTGGCTACTCATGTTTGATGCCTTCACATAATTTCGTTGATGGCAGCGCCATGCTATTCACTAGCAGTAAAAACTTGTTTAATACCAAGCTGCCATGTTGAAAGGTGATTTGAATCTTGGTGATTTTCTTTGAGGATATACTTATGCCTCCTTCGTAGGTGTCTTCGCTGTCTGGTCTTCCGGAGGTCGGTGTGCTTGTTGAAGCAAAATTGCTCTCCTCAAATGACTTGAAGGCGCTTGAAGGTCACTCCATCTTCCCTGTGCAAAATGCGGACACCAATGTTACATGTCGGGGGTACATCCATGATCCTGCGTTTGCTGTTCCTGTGGAGCAGACTATCACAGACCAAGACGGTCGATTCAAGTTGCTTGGGCTTCTTCCTGGTACTTTTCTCTAACTATGGCTTAAAAATCTGTTTAATATTTGCAAGTAAGCACTCTAATGCATGGCCTCCCCTAGGTTGTCCCTACCTTGTCACTGCTACTCGCAAGGAAAATGAGAGGGTCCCGCAGATGAGTAGCGTTTTTCCAACTTTTGTGATAGTCAAACCTTCCAATTCTGATGTATACAACTTGCACTTCTATCTCAAACCTCGCGTCTCATTGGGAATGGTAAGTACGGTTGACTGCTTGATTTTTTGAGCTACAATACTGCCTTCTAGTTTAACAACTTTCGACTCTAGGTGCATAGTCGTAACTGTTTGATTTTGTCTTTTGCTTTGGTAACCCTAAAGGATAGTATTTTTTTTTAGATTTCAGCCACAGTGGACACGGATGATGAGTATTTGCCAGACTTGAGCATTGTGATCCGTTCGGCAAGCCATCCAGACACACCTTTACTACGGCACAATTTCGCCTCCCAGTCCCGCTTCTTCGCTCTTCTAGGGGATCAGGTCGAGTCACTTATTGGGTGCGTGAGGAGATCGTTGATGCATTTTAGCAAATGTTTTTTTTTGTTTTTTTGCTAACGTCTTATTATCCGTGTAACTTGTTGTGTGCACGGTGTGAAGCCTTCTGGTAGAGTGACAGCCTGATAGGGAACCCTTTGATACAACCTGTTGCAACCAATTGAGAGTTGTCAATTCGTGTTTCTCGATTGTTTATCCTAATTCTTCAAAATGGAATGCAGCCTTCACTTTCGTGAGTGTTATTCAGAGCATTACTGCTTTACTGTAATGCCTTCAATTCGTGCTTTAGGGGCACCTATCAGATCCACCTGGAGTCCAATTCTCCCCACATATCTACCCATAATAGGACCCTCCAAATGTTTGATTTTACAGTTGATGCAAAATCCTTCAGCAATCATCAACACTTCAACTTCGCCTACAGGCCTAATTTACCTCCATCACGTGTTTGAGTCGTGTCCTCACTTCTTTAGTAATCTTTTGTACTTATTTGTGGCATCATGGAGAGCTTCATCCACACCCTCCCTTGTACATACTCAGGTGCACATGCAGACTTAAGTATTGTTGGCTTGTGAAGATTTTGTGGAGCATCTGTGTCCCAAAACTTTGTGCAGCTTATTGGGGTTGTACTGTTTTTGTGAGCTATGGATTCTTTTTTTGTGCTTTCGTTGTCTCTTCCCTACTTCATGGTGATGTGATTTCACGGAGGGTTGGTGAATGCCGTTGAGCTGTCGGCAATGCGAGGTCAGCCAAATCTCGAAGTGACCGCCAAATGTCAGGTGGTCACGTAAACAAAGCATTGCATTATGTGATTACAAACATCACGACATACATTTTCTAGGTTTTGGTAGAACAAGCCATTATCGCAATAATGTTCGTTGAATGTGGTTTAACGAAAATTTGCAGCTTTACCCTGACATGGGTAGTAGTTAGGTAAATCATTTTTGGTACTGTAGGTTGAAAGGAACACTTCGATGGTACAACAAAAAGTTCGCGTAGATGTTTTTAGGTGGATCTTATGCATTACGCGACTTGTAGTTTGCATGCTGCCGAAGCAAAATGGGAATGTGTACCACTTCGACTTACATCAATGCGGGGATGGTGCGTCGAGACTCACTTTAAGTTAGGCGGCGCTGCAACAATGACGGCTACGTCCGTGTTATAGGTGGCAGCCATCCTGCATCTTGTTTACTGAAGGATGGCACGAGATTTGGCAGAATAGTTCGTACTGACAGGGAGGGGCTGGTGGTTGTTTTGTGACGCGGTCCGAAGTCCAGCCCACACAGGTAAACCATACAAGCAGTTGAGTAAGCAAATGGTGACGTACAAACTCGAAAGACCTCACTATCAGGCAGATTTCGCATCGTTTTGCAAAGGTGCAAGACTTTTGTGGCTTATGAGCGATGTACACTTGAGGGAAGACCTAGTATCACTTTTTGAACTTTAAGTTGGAAGACGCAATTGTAGACGGAAAACAACAATTCGGTGAATAATTTTATTGTTCGAGCGACTTTATTACCTGGAATTTAAGACAACTTAGGGGATTAAGTAGGGCTCAGCTAGCGAACGATAGTTATTTCTATCCAACTCTTCCACATTATGCATTCTTCGAATTTTTCTAGATTAGATGTAGCAATCCAAACTTCCCACCGAGTAGAAGAGGATATTACGCTGAGCTGAATACATTTATTGTGAGAGTAGGGGAAGAAATAGTTTCAGGACGGTCTAAAGGTCAACCCACGCCTACCATGATGGGACGAATAACAAATTTTCCACCGGATATAAGGCGGCCATATATGTAAGAGTTGCCTGTCTGCCCTCTTGCCCTTGAACGTCAGACTTCAAGAGAGTGTTAGTTGCAGATGATTTATTTGGCATTTGTTACAGGAAGAATTTGGATTGAGATGCAGATGAGCAGAATAGGAGATATCAAATGGAGAATGGCTCCTCACCGTCTTCGCGCACATCATTGGCGTTCCCAATTGGTTTCCGCCTCTCTCCTATAAAATTCCACTTAAACTAATATGTTACACAGCTCCTCTCTCTTTTAGGCACCTTAACTGGTGCTAATCAATAGGGTTCCATCGGGCGGCTGCTCTTTTTCTGATAACGTATAGACTTTGTCTTTGTTACCTATTGGGGCAGACCCGTATATGGCCTAATCTTGTTATGGTGTATTGTTTGAGGCCGAGAAGCAATCTCCGTATCCCGAATGAGATGATTCGTGGGCGACATTGGTTTGATTATCCGGTGGGATTCATTGCTCCAGGGGTAGTAGAAGTTCCGATGGGTTCTGACGGGGAAATTGGTCTATATAATTGCAGCAAATCGCCCTTTTTAAAGGCGAATATTAGATACTGCCTATTGCAGGACCTCTTTTGTCTAGCGTATGCTTTCTTCAGCTGTCTACGCACGACGTCAAACACTTTCCTGAGGTTTTTCTTTAGTTGCAAGGCGTACTGAGGCGCGTCATCCCAGTCGGCTTCTTGTGAGGAAGCAAAATGTCGGAAGGAACTCTCATTTCGCGGCCCGTAAGCAATATAAACAAAGTTTGCATTTCCTATCTATCCTTTCGCCGTGTTAACCGTCTGTTTTGGACCAGTGTTGCAACATATGAACATAAAAGCAATAAATGATAAACCTATAAATGCGGACCCGACTCTGACCATCGGATCGATCTTAACTACAAATGCAGTTGAAGCTATTAAGAAGATGATGTACAAATCCTCAGTCCCATGTTAGTATATGACTGACGCGACTGGCTCGAAGGTGTTCTCTTTTAAAGCCGTATATGTTGTGATGGCTGGTTGAGCGATACACAAAGGCAAGCGACGAGGACGTCACTCAAAATAGAGAGGGTTGACTTAATACTCTAGCCATATAACCGCTTGATGACTAGCTGTGAATTTGGCAATAGTCGGGCCTTTTTCCGCGTAAGCTGGCGTTTGAACTATACCAAGACTCAATCACGTTCTCTTCTATCAGTACATATTTATTGTATCCAGCATAATACCTTTTTCGGCTGGTTATATGTCTCAAGATGCTGCAGTTACAGTCGTTTTAAACAATGCTAGAAATCCGAAAATCATAGATGAAACAGTGCAGATTGCAATGTGTAACTAAAATGCCTTTACAAATGATGACCGCTTTCCATCAGTCATTTAATCTAGCCTCTAAATCTAGTCAAGATCCCACTTCTACCTTCACTGCCTTAATGCAAATATCCAGCCTGGCTTTATGATTGTTCTTATCAAATGAGTGTTTAAAGGCGATTTTTTACTAAAATTTTTGTGTGTTTTTTGTGTAAATAAAGATTCGTTTGTTTTAATTGCGTACGTAATTTATAATATTAATCTTTTTATTTTGTTTTTATGCATTTGTGTGTATATTGTTTGAATGTACTGCAAGCACATTACGGGTGGGCATTTGTTCGGTACCACGCCGGGATGATCATTTACAAGGACTTTCTTACGGGTCCGCATTTTTTATTTTATGTATTGTTTTTATCTTCTAAATTTCATTCCATTGCTGCCTTTGATTTTTCAGGCGACGAGTTGTTCAGTGATGCTTTCCCAATTAAAAAGATCAACGATCACATCTGGGAAGTCGAGGGCAAAATGATAAAAGTGAATCAAGGCGTTGATGATGCTCTCATCGGTGCAAATCCATCCACAGAAGAAGGTGGTGAAGGTGTGGATGATGGAGTTATTAGTGTGATCAATGTAGTCTACTCACACAATCTGGAAGAGTTGCCCTTTAGCAACAAGAAGGACTACACTGCTTACTTGAAGGATTATCTTAAGTTGGTTACAAAGCGTGTTGCAGAGAAGAGTCCGGAGAAGGAAAAAGAATTTCAGGCAACTGTTCAGAGTTATTGGAAAGATACTGTTCTGAAGAAATTTGAAGATTGGCAATTTTATCGTCCGCCCAATTATGAAGCCGAACATCAGTATCTGATTCCATGCAATTATCGTGACGATGGTGTAACTCCATACTTTGTTTTCATCTGTGACGGTCTTGATGAGGAGAAGTGCTAAGTACTTCTCATGTTTGCCTTCCATATGTAAATACATTTGAATGGTAAGAGATTTGTCGTCGTGTATCCACCTGCGCGTGTCGGGAGGGTCGTTTACGTTCTTAAGCTGACAACAGGGCTTTAATGTGGTAGGATTTTCGCGGTGTCCAGTTTGTGATTGTGCTCTGATGCAGTTCTACCGGTATTTGTTGGCGGATCTTGTCTAGGTCTTCGATCATGGACGTTTGCCAAGTTGGGTTGTTTTTGTGCAGGTCGGTTGATTAATTAGTTTTCCAGTTCATTGTAGTTCATGGGTGGGGGTGTCATCTGTCTTGAAAGCTACAGTTGTTGACTCGCGCCAGTGCTCAATGGGCGTGGTAGATCTGTAGTTTAATTCTTAGTTATCATAACAGCTCTGAATTGAGATCTTCATTCGTGCCTCTACGGCAGAAAGTATGGCTTTCGTTTGGTGTGGGTTGTGACGACGTGGTTGTGATGTGTTGCGGTCAACGCATGTTTAGCAACGGTGGATATCTGAGCAGCACTACGCATTCTATATTGCAAAGGAGTGAAAAGTTGTGTGAGATCATAGTCTGTTTGAGGACCCAGAAAAGCGCTTCGACCAGCCTGTGTACGGATTGAAATTCATATGGAGATGGCGAGAGTCGAGCGCGATGGCGTTGGCACGCTGTCACGCGTAGGGTTTGGTGCGCGCGCGTGTCTGTCGGTGTGCGTGCTACCGCCCAAATTCTGGCCCATGGCCTTGCCAAAGTCAGCGCAAATAATGGTTTGTCTAGGACAAACAATCGTCGCTCTACTTTTCAGTTCCTCTTCAACTCCTCTACGAGTGTGTAACCACATGCCTATTTACTAAGTGGCAATGAGCTGCTGATAAAACACCCACCATTCACTTACTTGAGAGTTATGGAGTTTTTTTAGTGGTTAAACGGCACCACTCCTTCCATCCACATGAAATGCACTTTCGTTTGTCATAGCAACACTTTGGTGTCCGTGTGCCTACACTCCATTTTATTTGCTGCTCCATCATTCCTCCCGAAACGCAATTAAGGGTTAAACAGAGGGAAGATTTCAGTCGTTTGCTTCTCCATACAGCTTGTCATTCACATCATTATTTGGGCCTTTGCATGACGAGGATTCGTTCACATTCTTGTGGTACGAAAATCGAGACTATTTTGAATTTGGTCAAATTGGGGACTCTCGGACAAGTGATGAAACCGAGAAAAAAAGCATAAATGGGATCGCGATACGGCGAAGTAGATTGCTTACAGTGCAACAGCATCGAGCATCACTTTTTCAGTATCACCTGGCTGGACAGAATCCTTGCATTTCCCTTCCCTCCTCTCCCCTCGTGATCGGACAAAATGGCGGATATGAGTAGGGGATCGAATGAAGGGCCAACAAATAGCGTTGTGAGTGCCTGTACATGATGTATGCAATAATGCACACAGAATAAGTTGTGGTTTTCTGCCGCCGTTAGCCTGTGTGACAGGGCATCGATGCAATGCAACACGGACTGCAGTCAGTTGCGGTGCCCTGACTGCTACCACAGTTGGGCGCTGAGGCTGTTTCACAGGTGGAATAAGGTGGGCAAATGGGAATTGTTGAAGAACCCAAAGAATACGCAATTCCTCTCTTCCATTGCATACCATATTTCCACATGAGGCTTCTCAATAGAAGCAGCTTCTCTTGCATTTGTTGATCAACGTTTCTGTTGCATTTTGTCATGTGCATGCTGTCAAATAGGATGAATTTTATGTTCAATTTAGTCAATGTACATGATTTTCAGGTCCGTAACTGGTGATTGCGTTTCAAAGTGAGATATGAAGGTGTAATTTCCTTTTTTGCCGATTTAGCTGAAGAATTCGACTTCCAATTCTAAGTTGGCATTATACTACTTATAATTGACTAAGTATATGTGAGCGTATTTTTTGTGCTCGCATTTTCTCATCCACACAGGTGTGTTTTGTGGTGCCATAGTAATACACAATGCATAAGTGAACTTTTCACCCATCCATGATGACACTGGAGCCTATTTTTTACATCGTCAGCTTGCATTTCCTCTTTATCACGTGACAAATTCACACATTATTGTTGTGCATTGTACTTGGAGCACAAAATCCGGTTACCTGTTGCCTCCAGTTGCAGAAGTACTGTTAGAAATGCTTGACAAGTTAATTAAGGCAGTAAAGGTGTCAACTTTCCTTAAATTTCCCGGAGCAAATGGTAGCCATTGGTGTGTAAGGACTTTCTACCAAAAGCAGAGCCTCCAAGATGTACGCAGGCGACATTGGGGTAGTAACTATTGAAGTTTATTCCTCGTTGCTGCTAAAAAGAATCCAGTCCTGAGAATGCATTTTTTGCGACCCAACGGCTACCACATTTACCACGAATAAAGATGAAAATAAATTTGTCTAAACTACAGAGGTATGTAAAGGCCACAGCTGTTTGATGACTACCTACCTGGGTGGCTTAACCATCGCAGAAATTAAGTCTCTTTATGCGCATTAGATTTTCCCATCAGTAATGCTTTGTTTATTTGACTACTTGTGGGAATGACAATCACGGTGGTGATCATCTTGCTCTTGCCGGGTGGAGCAGCATTTGGGGTTAGGCTATACCCTCGCTCCTACACTTTTCGACTCTCAGCCGTGCCCAATACCTACCACGACCTATTGAGAAATCTCGAGGCGTTACAATCTGGAGACTGTAAGTTGTCGAACGCATAACAAAGACTTTGTAAACAATTTTAGGCCGTGACAGAGGTAAATCCCTCTTGCTTTTGCGTGAAAGACTGCCTAGCAGTTAAGACGTGACTTGGGCATGAAAGGTAATGTTGGAAAGCTACAGTTCCCACTCATAAAATGTTATACTTAAGTTCACCAAAGACGAGAGTGAAGCGGGTTTTCCTCAATTAGAATGATTTAATTAATATGTTTATGTGCGTTCCCAAATAGTTCCCGTTCCGCATTTCTAGTCATTGGGGTTCAAATTGAACTCGTAATAACCCATTAAAAGGGAATAAAAGCAAAACGCTAACATCCTATACAACTTAGGAAATAAAAGTAAACAAACGAATGATTAATTTTGAACTTTAAATTGGGCATTAAGGATGCAAGGAAATTAACATTTTTAAGTCGCTAATTTAGCTTACAACCGCAGCTTAATCAGACCTGACAAATAACTGAAGCGCTGTGAATTTACTTCACTTCGAACAAATTAATTTTACGCAATTCCGTCGTTATACTACGCATTGAAAACAGAAAGTGTCAGGATTTGTTTGGATTTACTGTTCAGTGATGACATTTTCTTTGCTCTGGTCCAAAATACAATACCGATAGATAAAAACGCCTCTATTTTTCTATAATAGCTTCCACTACATGTTTGGCCATCGGAGATAGTGATATACGCCATTATGCATGCGCCCAAGTTAGACGGGAAAATTCATAATACCAAAAAAGACATACCTTTAATAATCAATTAACACGAACCAGGTTACCGTTTACAGTTTGATAAAAAACAACAAAGTAACTTTGGGAATTTCATCAGACATCCAAAAAAAATTGCGTAGATTTTTTAAAGTGCAAAAATAAAAAAAATAAAAAAGGCAACAACTCAAAATTTACTGTAAAGCCAAAGGCTACAAGGTATTATAAACAGTTTATTAATCGACCCCAGGCTTTTAAATTTGAAGATAGCCCAGATACAAATATATAACTAAACGCTGAACCATAAATTTAAAAAAAATTTTGAATGCATAAATTAACTTCAGAAAAAACGAAAGTCTCCACAACGCTGAAACCTCTGACAACACAACCAATTTATCAGCAGCGCAGCATAGCACATAATGTAGTATCCTATAACAACAAGGGAAATGCAGTAAACATTTATAAACCAAAAACCAGCTATTTGATCTGGTCCTTGTATGCGCAAGACGACCTTCGAGCCATGCTTCTCCCTAGAATATTTGTATCGAGCCCGACCTAAGGCCTTCTTCGATCTGGTGGGGAAGTGAGGGAGTGATGCAATGCAAAGCAGTGCTAAGCTATTATTTGCAATATTCAATGGAATTTACAAAATTCACGAGTTGCACAGTGTAGACGCACTGTATGGTGTTGGAGGTAGCAAGAGAGAGACGAAAAGTTTTTTGGATAGCCATAGATATTTAAAGGAAAGGGAATGTGTGCAAATTGGAATCGGGATTGTTGACATAGCTTTTGACTCCATAAGCATAAAGAAGTTTGTATGTTCCACGCTGTGTGGAAAGCAATGTGATATCGGTAGACATTATGAAGAGTGCCCAACATGCTAATCGAAGTACATATTTCGTGATTAATGCAAAAGTGCGAATCATTTTAGCCAACATTAGAATATTAAATTTTCTAGGTTTAAATTTGCTACAGATCAAGAAACTTATGACAAACACGAACAAGGGAATTCCTCCCTTTGTATGTGCAAGCTCCATTAGTCCTGTATGGTAATGTAAAATCTGGATTAAAAGTTATATCTTTAAAAAAAACAAAAAATTTAAGAGTTTTTAACCACACAGGGATTGAATGTCGCGGAATTCATCTCGACTATTGCACGACGAGGATATCGAATGATATTTTACTGATGGCATTGCAAATAACATGTTGTGCCTTTAGCATTGCATGCTTTGATGTGAAATCACGGATTATTAATGTAGCAAAGTTTTGTCAAAAATACGTCGTTGAAATTGCACTTATATCCTACCACTGAAATGTTTTAACTCTCCTATTTGTCTTCAAGGGTAGCCAGACGACGACCCTGTGTCGTGAAGCGCTAGCTTCGACTAGCAATAAACACCAAGATGTTTAATAGCGAGTTCGAAATAAGAATATTGTTTTACTGCGTTATCTTTTCGTCTTTTAACATGCTACTAAATAAATCAACTATCGGTAGGTGTGGCATGTCCCGTAGATGGCAGCTATTTTAGCAAGTAATGTTAAAATAAATATACTCCCAAATTTAAGAATTTTACTA